CTTGCCGACCCGACGTCGCTTCCGGATTTCACGATTCCTCACGTCGAGGGTCAGACAGCGCTGTCGTGTCCCGTCGTCACGGTGGCAGCACCTGCGCCAGCACTGCGCGTTCAGGCGCAGGAAGCGGTCGCTGTGGTATCTGGCACCAGTGTCGGCGAAGCGACGTGCGCATGCAAGGGCAAGAAGAAGCCGTGCTTGTTCGTGCATGGTGTCGGCAACAAGGACTCGTCGGCTCCGACGCCGACGTTCAGCGATACCTGGGGCGACGTCCAGAACAGCGCGCCGTGCTGCTCGAGCTTCGCGTTCGCGCACTACGAGTCCGTGCGTCGTGGCTGGACGCGTCCGGAAGTGCAGACCGAGTTCTGCAACACGGCGCTAAGCATCGGCACGTCGGGTGGCAAGACGATCGACAATGTGATCTTGGTGACCTTCTCGATGGGCAACCTCGTCGCCGCCGGTGCTATCGCCAATGATGTGTGCAAGCTCGGGGACGGTGTCACATGGGTCGCGATCGCGGGTCCGATGCAGGGCAGCAAGGCGGCCAATTTGCTCGAGAAGAAGTGCTCAGCCTGTGGCATGGATGGGGCTCTCTTCGGCCTCTGTCCGGTTACCGAGCCGTACTTTCAGATGAAGGCCGAAGACACGGTCGACGCGAACTTGAAGAAGGCGTTCCAGGACGCGCAGACTGCCCGGAAGCGCGCCAACAAGGTCCTGTGCGGCATCAATTCGTCGGGACTGGCATCGCTGGCTAGCCCGGTGCTCTCTTCCATTGGGGCGGAGGCGTTCCCGCCGGGCACGCTCCAGGACGGCGTTGTTGACTTTGACAGTTGCAGCGTCGGCTTCAGTAAGTTTTCGACGGACGCCGAGGCCGGTGCCAACTACAAGGCGAGCATCAACCACTTTGATACGTCGTTCCGCAACGGCGACGGTTGGTGGGGCGCCGACCGCATGCCCGTCAAGTGGTTCGAGTGCGCACTCTAAGTCGATAGAGCGTTCCAGGTGTACAGCACGTCACTGTACTGTCCAAGGTTGTGACGGCGCGTAAAGTACCACCGCTGCAACATACTATTTCGACGTTCGGTGACGTGCTTTCCAATGTACCGTAATACAAGTGACGCTGTCCATACTGGTATCGTTGCACTCCAAAAAGAATTATTCGTATTCCCTTGACGTGCCCGGCGCCAGTTGAATCACACTTGCATAATAGCTGGTGGGTTGCGCCACTGGTTATCTTTAATTGTCTCTCTGCATGATATGGATCCATATCATGCGCTGGATTGCGTCCCATCGCCTCAGGCTGTTGAGGGACGAACACATATGTTTTTCGTTCATTCTTCAGAATCTTTGAGATAGATAGATAGATAGATAGATAGATAGATAGATAGATAGATAGATAGATAGATAGATAGATAGA